CTTTGCATTAAAGGTGGCAGATTCTTCCAAAAGGTCCGTGTGCTGGGGAAGAATGATGGTGTGTTTGAGTCGATTCTGGTGACTCAGTCTTTAACTGAGCTGCATCTTGGTTATGCCCCTTAGAACATTTCAGGTTTCTTGAAATGAGTGTGATGAGCAGAGAATGGCTTATGCATGGATCTGTGTTGTGATCCTTGTTCTCCAGAAGGAGAAAAAGGGAAAATTTTCTTCCAATGATGTCTGTCAATAAAGGGCAGCTTGCCTTGTTGCATGATGTTTGGACATGCTGAAACATTCTGTCTGCACAGACACAGGGCAGGTGGAAGCGTTTGCTGTGGTGTATTTCGGAATGTCTAAAAGGTTGGTAGAGTGTTCCATTTCCCCTGGCTGTTGTATGGATCCAATAATTGTGCTTCTGTGTGTTTTCCCTGCTTTCCAAAGAAATGAGTTGGAGAACTGTACCTCTCGTTCTTGTTTCTTCTCATGTTCTAAAAGTGGGCCTCAGTTTGGCTGATAGTTCTTAAAACCAGAGAGATCTGTTCAAACTCTCAGGCTGCAGGAGGAGTTCTCTTCCATACCTTGAAGGTGTTCAGCTGCCAAGACAAAGATTTGTCTTTCCCTAAAATCTTGCTGAATGAACCATCTGCTTTGTCACTTGTGGTTGACATGTGGTCAGAAGTTGGATTTGTCCATGGTGTGAAAAAGGCTGTGAATGCAGAGCAAGGAGGGTGAGAGGCTGACTTTGTACCAGGAAAACATGTGAGTCAATGTGGTTTTGGCTGATCAATGTTTTGATTTCTTGCCTGGTGTCAAGGCCTGTGTTATTTTTGTCTGTGATTTGAGTTTCTCTGTCCTGAAAGGCAACTGTAGTCCTCTGATAATCAAGCATTTGTCCAAGAACTCTGCATTTAGAGGCCTGATGTATGGCTAGATGTATGGCTAGATTCCTTAATGCTTCCCTGTCAGGGGTATTAACAAAAGTGGCTTTAATATGTTGTAGAAATGCATCATAGCAAAGTTTGATAGCAAGGTTCTATCTGTTACTTTCAGTGTTGAAATATAAAAAGGATTATTATCGTATGGATCCCCTTGTTTCCTTAACTCCTGATGGATCTTAGGTGTGGGTGGGTGCAATATCTATTATTTAGTACTAAGGAGAATTGACTCAGAATCAACCTGGAATTATTTACACAGAGACTGGAGATTGAAACGAGTGAGGGAGTTCCTCATGCTGAGTCACAAGTTTCAGAGTGGACATTCCTGCTACCTAACCTGCTGATGTAACTTGGGTACAGTCAGGTCCAATCTTAGTTTTAGACTTGGACAATGGTTTGTATTTAATGGAATTAGCTGCATGCATTTAATTTGTGTTTAGTTTCCATCCACTTAGTAAAGATCTGTTGCAGGTGAGGATTGTCAGTGCCTTGGGTAAGGATTGTCAGTGCCTTGGGTAAGGATAGATGTCTTAGTCTCACCTAAGGACTTTCTAACCCCGAGAGATGTGCCTGCTGAAGGAGAGAGTCACCTGGCAGGCAGTCCAGCTAAACTTCAGGGAGAGGTGAAATTGGACTCTGTCATTGGTAAAAGGGCTTTCAGCCTTGAGGAGCAACCTTGTGAGCCATCCCACTTCAATGGGAGATCATTGCCATACAGTCTTGATGCCTCGCATGAAGAGCTCAAGGACAGCTCATTATTTATGGGATGAAGTGGTTGGCTCACAGTCAAATTTACACACAGTGGGAAAGGCCTGAGTTGATGCTCACTATGTCACTCTGCTGCTCTGTGAAACCTCTTCATTCAAAATTACATCTTCCTTGTGACTTTGTGATGTAGAGTTTCTTCATAGTTGTAACTACACTTTGGCTCAGACCTTTCTTTCCTGGAAGGTCGTGGTTCCTTTCCCCCATTTCTGATCAGTACTTTTTCATTTGAAACTGTGGGTGTTGTTTAGCAGCAAATACTTATTTCAACCACCCAAGTTAATTTTTTATATGTGAAGAAGTAGAAATAGAATCTTAAAGAGAATCTGTTATGCTTTCTCTGAAGACAGGGTGAGAAAGAGGCCCACAATAAGACCTTTAAATATAGGGCTTCATGTTTGTGAGAGGTGAGCAGGCCACACGGTAGGAAAACTGATGAGAGCTGTTGACTATATTAAATAGTTAACTTATTTATATAAAATGAAATCATCTTTGTTGTCTGGAGTAAGACTTCAGGGGGTGACATTTACAGCTTGAGTCCTCAATGGGTTCCTGCTGCTCTCAGGGATGACTTTCCATGCCTGCCTAGTGAGTTTATGCTTCCTTTCATGGCTTGTCTGACTTTTTCTCCTTGTCATGTTACAGCTAGTGAGGAAGCAGGAGATAGGAGAGGGTACATCTGTGTTCTAATTTTGTCATGGGTTAGCAGATGCAAAGATGACCTAAGAAGAAGTCACATCTTTGTGGATCAGGGAATGTGATCAAAGAGTTGCAGAGATTCCCCCCAAGTGCATAGTTTGATGAAGCAGTCTCTGTCCAATGGCCATTCCTCTTTTAATTTGTCCATTTGTCATTCCTCTGCATTTGAAAAATGATGTTTCTTCTCAGAATGATGGAAGTGTATTTCCCTTCTTTGTATGGTTGTGATGCATTATCCTCTAGAAGAGGTTTTGGGAAATTCTGAATGTCAAAATCAAAGCTGCAAGTTGTGTAGGGTTGGAGAGTGAGGAGAAAAACAACAGAGGGGTGGAATTCCTTCTGTGAGAAGTCCTTTCTCCATCTACATATCTAAGTTACTTTTTGATAAGAAGTTCATAAAAGTGGTGTTTGCATTTTCCACCTTGGATCTTACTTCAGGCTTTGTTTCCTGGAAGATCATGGTTCATGTTTCCCACTTGTGAGGGCTCTTTTGCAGCAAACAGTGACTTTGGTTGAGACCCAAATGAAGACAGTGTTGTGTGTGAGGAATCTGAAGCAGAAGTTATTACAGGGTCTCTCCTAAGTACTTCTATTCAGCTCAAAGGCCTTTGATAAGGCCCTTGCAGCTTCTTATTCCCAGGAGATTAACATACCATGAAGTAGAAAATTGACAAGAACAGCTAAATTTGCAGAAAGGAAACCCACTACTGTACAAGTGTAAGATTTGAGGGCCTCACTTGTACATTCAGACTTCAGTGAAGTGAATCTAGAAGGCAGAGATGTGGCAAAGCACCTGTACATTGCAGGTGTCCAGTATTTACCTGGTTTGATTCAGTTGGAGCTTTTGGTTTTGTTTATTAGAAATGCTCAGAATTGAGCGAGAGGACCTTGTGAAGAACCTGCACACAGCCCTTCCCATTGTTTAATCCAAGAGGGTAACTGTGAAGTGCTGCTGGCCAAGCCCACTTACTTGGGGATCCTTAAGTCTCTGAGGGGCACACATTTAGGTGCCTCTCTATATGATTTCCTACAGGGCACAAGCCTGGATGTGTCACAGTAGGGAATGAACAGTGCCATGTGTGGCAGTGGAGGGTATTTGATTTAGCAAGTGCCAGGGATTTCTGTTATTCTGACGCTTAGTAAAGTCATTCAATCCAGTCAGGAGAGACCTACTAGCCCTTTGAAATCACTGCAGCTTGCTTAGCTTACATCTTGAGGCCTCCATGAGTTTTCAGGTGCTATGGGGATGAGTTTCTAAGGCAGAGTTCTGGTAAAGCAACTGAAAAACACAGGACTGTAGTATCTGCCCCGATGAGGTCAGATGGAGGTTTGGGATCTGTGTATGAACAATCAGAATTCACTGAAAATCTTTTGGCTGATTTTGTGGTCCTACAATGGACTGGCCAGGTGATGGGACTTTTGCCTGGAGGTTCACAAAATCAAAACAATGGAAATGGGAAATCTGTTCTTAAAACAAGCCTGATTTTTGAGTTTCCATCAAAAGCACAGGAGGTTTTATGGGTGGAAGAAGATTCAGAGTGTAAGTATGGACAGAGGGCAAAGAGCTTACACTGCTTTGTACTTTCTTTTCCTGTGCCAGGTATGTACAGTGTCATGGGTGCAGTTCCACTGCTTTAGGCTTCACATTTCTCTTCAAGTCTTAGCATTGTATAAATCTGCTTTTGCCTTACACCCTCTACTCAGAGAAGCTAGAGAAATGGTATCTCAGGTACCAGTGAAACACATGATTTCTAAAGCATGTGAGCAATCTACTTTTGGCTTCAGTTCTCTGGCTGTGCATGAGGGAAACAATCTGGAAACACATAATTGCCCTGCAAGAAATATTTCCTTCTTAAGTTTCGTGCCAATGCACACCACAAGATGCCAAAGTCTTTGGTAAGGTGCAATAGTGGTTGATATGTCTATTACAGCTACAAAAGAAACCAACAGAAAAAAAATCGGTATTAGACTGCAGTAGCTGCTGTAATCATTAGGGTTCCTACTTAGCATTAAGCGAGTACTTTGGCGCTTGCTGATAATACCAGAAGAGAGACCCCAGGGCCGCTGCAGCCCCATCCCGGGCCAAAGTTGTTCCCCGCCGAGCGCGGGCGTGAGGCGGCTGCAGTGTTGTGTCGGCGCCTCCGGGTGCCGCTGTTGGGCCGCCGGCGAGCGTTGCTGGAGCCGCCGCCGCCGCCGCCTGTGCGTGCTGTCCCCGCAGGCTGCTGGCTCGGGCGGGCAGTGCGGGCCAGAGCGGCAGCGGCACGGGCAGCAGAGGCGAGAGGCGGCGCGGGCAGCAGAGGCGTGCGAGTGGGAGGCGGCGGCGGTCCGGGTTTGCTTTGTCGAGCGCTGCTGTGGCTGCGCCGAGCGGCTGCGAGGGAGGCGGGGCGGCGGCAGGAGCCTGGCGAGCTCGGCGAGCGAGCGCTGTGGGCGATGTCGGGCGGGCGGAGGCCGAGCGGCGGGCCGGGCGGCGGGCGAGCGGCGGTGCTGGGCGCTGTGCTGCTGTGGCTGTGCTGGCGGGCGGCGGCGGAGCGGCTCCGCTACTCCATGGCCGAGGAGCTGCCCAGAGGCTCGCTGGTGGGGCCGCTGGCCCGGGACCTGGGGCTCAGCGCCGACGAGCTGCCGGCGCGCAAGCTGCGGGTGGCGTCTGCCGGCAAAAAGCAGCTGAAATACTTCTCGGTGAGCGAGGAGAACGGGAACCTGTACGTGAGCGAGAGGCTGGACCGGGAGGAGCTGTGCGGCAAGTTGGCGTCCTGCTCGGTCAGCTTTGAGGCGCTGGTGCACAACCCGCTCAACGTCTTCCGTGTCGAAGTGGCCATTGAGGACGTGAATGACAACTCCCCGGTCTTCAGCAAGGATGCCCTGGACCTCGAGATCGGTGAATGGACGGTTCCAGGTGCTCGTTTTCCTCTGGAGATGGCCCAAGATGCGGACGTGGGAAGTAATTCCCTGATTACTTATCAACTCACCAGCAACCCGTCCTTCAGTCTGGCCTTGAAAGAGATCACGAGTGGAAAAATGCAGCCGGAATTAATGCTGGAGAGAGCGTTGGACAGAGAGAAGCAGAGCTCCTTTGAGCTGGTGCTGACGGCAGTGGACGGCGGGGACCCAGCGAGGTCCGGGACTGTCCAGGTTCGGGTCAACGTGACGGACTTAAATGACAACCCGCCCGTGTTCAGCAAAAACGTCTACGAGGCTCGAGTGGCTGAGAATTTGCCGGCAGGTTCGCTGGTGCTGCAGGTGCGGGCCACAGATGCAGATGCGGGGTCCAATGGGCGGGTCTCCTACTCCTTTGTCAACGTCCCGGCCGGGATCCGCGAGTTGTTCTCTATCGACAAAGAGAGCGGTGAGATCAGCACCGAGAGGCCCCTCGATTTCGAGGAGACGAATATATACAGGTTCGCTCTAGAAGCGAGGGACGGGGGCGGACTCATTGGTTACTGTGAAGTTCAGATAGACGTCACAGACGAGAACGACAACACACCCGAAATCACCATTCTGTCACTGTCGAGCCCCGTACCTGAAGACGCACCGGTCGGCACTGTGGTGGCCCTGCTGAACGTCCATGACCCGGACTCCGGCGAGAACGGTGAGGTGTCGTGCGAGCTGTCGGGAGAGGCGCCGCTGTCGATCGTGGCGTCGTCGGGCGGCTCTTACAAAGTGGTGACGGCGAGCGCGCTGGACCGCGAGCAGGCGTCCGAGCACCGCGTGACGGTGGTGGCCCGGGACCGGGGCAGCCCGGCTCTGTGGAGCAGCGCGGAGCTGTTGCTGGAGGTGTCGGACGTGAACGACAACGCGCCGGTGTTCGAGGAGGCGTCGTACAGCGCGTACGTGCGGGAGAACAACGCGGTGGGCGCGCTGGTGTTGCGCGTTGTGGCTCGGGACTTGGACGCGGGCGCGAACGGGCGCGTGAGCTACTGGCTGTCGGGCGGCAGCGCGGGCGCGGCGGGCGCGGCGCCGCTGGTGTCGGTGGAGGCGCGGAGCGGCGCGGTGTACGCGCAGCGCTCGTTGGACTACGAGCAGTGCCGCGAGTTCTTGGTGGCCGTGCGGGCGCAGGACGGCGGGTCGCCGGCGCGCAGCTCGACGGCCACGGTGCGCGTCTTCGTGCTCGACCAGAACGACAACGCGCCGCGGGTGCTCTACCCGCCCCCGCCGGCGGCGTCGGGAGCGGCGTCGGCCCCGGGCTCGGTGGGTTCGGCTTTCGAGGTGGTGCCGCGTTCGGCGTCGTCCGGGTACCTGGTGGGCAAGGTGGTGGCGGTGGACGCGGACGCGGGGCGCAACGCGTGGCTGTCGTACGAGCTGGTGCAGGCGTCGGAGCCGGCGCTGTTCCGCGTGGGGCTGCAGAGCGGCGAGGTGCGCACGGCGCGGGCCGTGTCGGAGAGGGACGCGGCCAAGCAGCGCGTGGTGGCCGTGGTGAAGGACCACGGCGAGCCGGCGCTGTCGGCCACGGCCACGCTGCACGTGGTGCTGGCCGAGAGCTTGCAGGAGGCGCTGCCGGAGCTGAGCGAGCGGGCGGCGGGCGCCGAGGCGGCGGGCGAGCTGCAGTTCTATCTGGTGCTGGCGCTGGCGCTGCTGTCGGCGCTGTTGGTGCTGAGCGTGGCGCTGGCCGTGCTGGCGCGGCTGCGGCGGGCCGGGCCGCCCGGCGTGCTGCGCTGCCTGGGCGCGCAGCGCTTGTCGCTGGCCGGCGCCGCCTTCCCGGCCGACTTCTGCGAGGGCACCTTGCCCTACTCCTACAACCTGTGCGTGGCGGCGCCGCCCCGCTTGGCCGCCGAGGCCGCTTGGCCGCCGCCGCCGCTGCCCATCGTGCCCGCGGAGGAGCTTGTGGCCGGGGAGCCCTGCGAGAAACCGAGCCCGAGCAGCAGCGCCGTCCTGGGAGATCCGCCCGCCGACACCGACGCACCGCAGGTCAGTAAGCCCCTTCACGCCTTCTCTCTGAGGTTTTCCTAAGGGTATGCATGTGGCAGTGGGCTCTTGGGGTTTGTATCTGTTCGGGTGCAATTAGTGCCGTCGCTGTTTCCACAGACGCGGGTAATAACTCTGCCTCATTTTTAGGCATCAGGCGTTGCCAACCGGCACTTCCTGCCTCATGAGCTGTCACAGATTTCGGCTCAGTTGGGAGGTTGTTGTCGATCAACTTATACTGCATAAAACAGTACATGACTTGGAATTTTCTGCTTTCAGTTTTGCTTTTATTAATTTTCCTCTCAGAGCAGTAATGGAGCGACAGCACTTCTTCGTTCAAGTGCTCCGGTTTTTCTGCAAACCTTGTTGTGTGAAATATTATGGGTTAGTCCCGGTGAAGGTGGATACTTAAATGTTAGAAAGCGATCTGCTAATTCCGCATGGTGGAGTTGGCAATGCGATTGACGCTCAATAATGAGATTTTACCTTCCTGATCCTTCCTTACCGTGTAGATGTACTGACCTGTTCGTTTGTTATTTCGGAATGTTAAGGAAACTTGCTAGAGGAAGGGACAGCTGTTCTTCCCTAAGGAATATGCCTACCTTCCACCCTGCGCCGTCCCATTTTTTGGTGTAAGTGGACTACAGAAATGGCAAGCTATGATGAGATCAGTATTTTATCAGAGCTTTATTTCTTTGTTCTCTTTTTGCGATTTTTTCTCATTCAGAGTTTGGTGGTTCCTTCTTATTTACCGTTCCTCAGCTGCCTTTTCTACAGAGATTGAATGTGATCTAAGAAACAAATTCCCATGTTCTGTCTTTGGTTTGTTTGTTGCCTGCTTTCTTTGGTTCTAACCTGTTTCATTTTCATCTTTTTTTGTCACCAAGTTTACACCTTCCTTGCTTGATAGCATCTCTCGCTAAGGCTGTGATCAAGAATGGAGCACTAAGCTGTATGCGAAAGCAGGGCCTTATGTTTAGGGTGCAATAAAAAATTGGGAAGTACTGTTTGGAGGAGAGCAATGCAGGCTGGTTCAGAGCAGCCTCGGATGTGCAAGTGAAAAGTAAAAAAGCACCGAGGCAAGGGTAGTCCCTAGAATGGTTGCTTCTGGGGAGGAATCTTCGTCGCTGCTATGTGCAATTATTCTGAGTCTGGGAATCTACTGTGGCTGGAGGTGTTCGAGTGTTGACGCTCAGTGAGGAAAAACAGAGAACGAATGACATAAAAAGCTGTGCAGTTGCAGGGAAGATACTGTGCTTTCTTACCTTAGAAGAGTAGATTCGTAATACTGTGCACGCTGTATTAAGAGATCTTTGTATATATAGATTATCACAATCACATGAATATTTTCCCGTGCGGTAGAAAGAACATAACGCCAGGTTTCCGCTGTACTGGACCCGACATTTACATGGAGAATGTACCGTCTCTCGTTGGCGCTCGGTGCGTGCAGTGCCGGGAGGAGGCTGCGGGCGCCGCTGTTGACCGAGAGGAGCGAGAGGAAGGTCGGAGCGCTGCAGCCCCGCCCGCTGCGGCCCGGCTCGATCGCTGGATCGCTGGATTCCTGGGTCGGGAAGAAGTCTGTTTTCGATCGTCCTCGCAGTGTGGATCCGAGATACAGCGAGGCGGAGGGGCGAGCGGCGGAGGCTGGGAGCGGCAAGTCGTAGCCGGAGCGGGAGCCGGATCGGCGATCGGTGGCCGGGATCTGCCGGCGGTGTTGCGGTGCCGGCGGTGCGGCGGCGGAGATGTGCGCGGCGGGGAGGCGCTGGGGCCGGCGGCAGCGAGTGCTGCTGTGGGGCGTCCTGCTGGCGGCCTGGGAGGCGGCGTGGGGGCAGCTGCGCTACTCGGTGCCCGAGGAGATGCCCAAGGGCTCGTTCGTGGGCGACGTGGCCAAAGACCTGGGGCTGCAGCTGCCGGCGCTCAGCGATCGCGGTGTCCGCCTCTTGGACAAAGGCAGGACGCAGTATTTCGCTCTGCATGGGAAGACGGGACATTTAGTGACAGCCGAGAGGATCGACAGAGAGCAGCTTTGCCGGTTGGCGGAGCAATGCGTGCTGCGCTGTGAGCTGATAGTGGAGGCGGAAATGAAGTTTGATAAAATCGAAGTAGAAATCACGGACATTAATGACAACACCCCCAGCTTCCGAGAGGCAGAAACTGAACTCCGAATGAGCGAAACGACAGCCCCGGGGTCCCGGTTTCCTCTTGCCAGAGCTCACGATCCGGACTCTGGACGGAATTCCCTGCAGCGCTACGAGCTGAGCGGCGACGAGCACTTCTCGCTGGCCGTGCAGACGGGCCCCGGCGGGGATCAGCGTCCCGAGCTGGTGCTGGCGAAGGCGCTGGACCGGGAGGAGGCGGCGTTCCACGAGCTGGTGCTGAGGGCGAGCGACG